GGGGGGAATGATTTAAAAAGGCTCAATATATTTTGTGGACGATTGCTGGTTAGATCTAAATAAATGTATGACAATTTTACATTCGATTTCCATCCGGGTACAATACCATTAAACAATTAACATTCCGTATAGTTACCGCGTCATTTATGGCGAGGTCTTCCTCATCACTTGGCTTCGTAGACGCCTCGATCAACTGCCCAATTGTGCTCGCCAAATTCGTAACTGCTGACTTCACGTTTTTAAATGAACTTTGTCCTTTAGATAGTGTTGTCAAACCTGTCACCGATGCAGAGCATAACCCTACACCATATTCCTAGAAAATATAACCAAAGTAAGTTGCTTCATATACATGCAGCCTTATGTAATATCTGGGGGTGCACCGGCTATCATATCCGAGCCGGATAGTGAGAAAATCTCATTATCCGGTCACCGGCCAGATATATAAAATATCCGGGCGGATACCGGATATTGTTTGTACAAGGTTGAGGCGTTCTTTCAGGTTAGAAATGGTGTAATGTGGTTAAAAAGTGCGAGTATTTACCATATTTCTACTTGAGATGATCGTAGAGAAACTGGCAATATTTTCAAGATTTTTCATGCTCGCAAGATTTTTCATGCATGGGTTTGAAATTGGAAATTTTTGCCCAAGGCTTTTCCAACCAGGCATGTTTATCGATGTTGGACTGTGAAGTTCTTTCCTATCATTTCAAGTCAATAGGTAATGAACACCGTCAATTTGAACCCAGTTCTAAGTCAAACAAGTTTAATCTACATTTTTGCAGAAATTTTCACTGATATTTTTTATGTGTGATAGTTAATTCTGAAAATTAGACTGATTGACTAACTTTTTAAATCATTAAATGCCTATAGCTAATTAATCTACTAACTCGATACCTAAATTACAACTGAAAAGTTTCATAAAAAATATTCATACAGCCTGCAGTAGATTATTATATGGCACAAGACGCTCAACGTTGAAGACATATTGCTTCATGCATGCAATAATACTTTAATTTTCCATATTTATTATATAATCCGTTTTCCAGAAAATTTTTAGCCCTAAACTCAAGTTCCCAGACAAAAACAATTCCACCTCTGACCCGCTACCCCTAGTTTTATCTTAAGGTTTATGCTTAGAAAAGGTTAATTTTTACCTTACCTGGGTTGTGGGTGATAACACGTCTGAATTTTCTGTCAGAACTTGTGTTGTGCCACTCAGTTGCAATAACGTGTTCATGTCCGTCACGTTGATACCAGAAAGTGATTTCATGATGTTTTGTTTCAACTAAAACAAAGAAACTGATATTTAACGTCATAAATTAAATGAGTTGTGATCCAGAATCGCGGAAACGGAATTGCGGAAGCAGGATCATGGAAGCGGAATTGGGGATAAAACGCGGCATGAATTACTATTTCTTTTGCTAAGATTTATTTCCTATAATTCGCACCTCGTCAACTTTTTGACTCTCGTCTCGTCTTCTTGCCATTTCGTCAGCTGTCATGTTTCGTGATGTATTGCTGTTGTAATCAACATGATTCAACACTGAGCCAATCACTCCTGCCATTGACAAGGCTTTTCGTGGATCACCGCCTGCGATTAATTCGTCTAACGGGTTGTGTGAACCTGATAACATGTTGCCGAGGTTGGTCAGGTTGAAACTGTCTTTACCGGGTGGATCCACCTATGAAAGAAAACTGGCTGTTACACTAAACATTGGACATGTATTAAGGTAAAAAAATACATGGGTTTTATATTTCTTGTTGCAAAAACGTAGGTAGAGTAGATTGGGTTTTCTTGTTTTTTTGTACATTTTTTTGTAAATGCTCTAGACTTTCGCAAAATCCTTCGTGTTTGTCTATATAATTGGCAACAAAAACAAAGGAATTTTGGAGAAAGAAGTTGTGAAAAAATGCGAAATTTCCTGCGGGAATTTCTTTGTCAACTGAATTTGTTACCCCAGTATTTCGCGAAGTGGTTGAACCGACCTGACCGCGTAGCTCAGTTGGCAGAGCATTGGGCTAGTATTCCAAAGGTCGTAGGTTCGATTCTCACCGTGGACAGGCATATTTTTCAAGCTTGCCCGGTGTGGATATACACTCAGAGTAACATCACAAGCATCAGTAACACACGTTATCGACTATAACTACCTTAACAGTGAAATGAATTTCAGTCGCTCCATCAAATTTATCTCTGATATTCACATAAATATCCAAGTCATTGTCTTGATTCGCATTCCCAATCGGCAAATCGCTACTGGCGATGACAGTTTTCCCGGGACTTCCAGTAAGGGTTAAAAATACTGTTCTAACGCCATTCAATTCGTAAGCATAATCGTATTTGATTGGTGGATCGGGATCTGTCCAGTTGATGCATGTGATGTTAAACGTGGTTGTCATGGCAACACCGCTTGGTGGGAAGACACTGCATCTACCTGTGTGAAAGAAACATAAGTTCTTAGGGCCTGTTCATATGACTGACCGGGAAACGTTACATAGCCGAGGTTCGCACGGAAAAACATTTCATGTTCATGCAGTCGGACTACACACTTGAAAACGCGCAAGTTGTTACGGATCTGCAAACAAATGTAACAAGGTTGTTGTCAAGTCGATATCAGGATGTGTTCGCACTGCTTGTTCCCAGTTGTTGTGACAAGTCTGGAACAAGTTGCTATCACCTTGTTACATGGTTGATGACTGCAACAAGCTTGCTACAATTTGTTCCAACTAGACTATTAAAAAACTCATTAATAATTCATGAAGAAAACACAAAGAAAAATCATAAGCGTGTCGTATCTGTATATATGATACAGATTCATGTTGATTTACATAAACTTTAACTTTGATTTTCTCGGCTTAGACAACGTTTATTTTCAAAATTACTGCGCCAATGAACTCATAAGATGAGTCGTTTTTTAAGCCATTTACAACATATCCGATACAACACGGCCGCTCATGTTGTAAATGGTACATACAGGCTGTTCGTAACAGGTTGCTATGAGCTTGTTGTCATCAACTTGTTAACAACTTGTTACGTAAAAACGATATCAGACTTGTTGGAACAACTTGTTGCGAGTTTTTTGGCCTCCTCAACCTTGTGTATGTATGTATCGAGGTATGCACTGTCCGGGTCTACCCTAGTTATGTATATTACTGTGAAGCATTGTATTTTTAAAACAATTATTCGCCGAAGGCGAGGTGATTATCGGGGAATATTCGTCGAGACGAAGTCGAGGTGAATATTCCCCAATAATCACCGAGTATGAGGCGAATAATTGTTTTAGTATTTTTGTGTTTTTTGGGACTGAATTTATTTTAATTTCGCTTATTTTTTTTATCAGTATAACGTCCACAAAACGACTAGCCGCCATGTTGAAAATTTCGGTTTTGTTATACTCACCTGTCGGTGAATATAACAGCTTAATACGTCAAATTTGACCAATCAACTTGTAGGATTTGTTATGTTCACTTGTGCAAAAATACTAATGTAAGTTATCATGCATCATTTAAAAGGGCAACTCTTTCAAACTGACCTCCCGTCGGAGCAGCGTTCATGAGCATTGTATATCTGAATTCTCCAGAAACATTGTTAGGTCTTCTTGCAGTCAGTTGTAAGATGTATTTTCTGTCCGCTATCAGTGTGTTTGGTTTGAATGCCATTTGAAGCTCGTCAATAGGGTTGGTGACCATGGTACTCAATGTATCCGAACTGACCTAAAATAAATGAACGATTGCGGTCAGGGACGCCGGAGTGGGGGGCAGGGTAAGGCAAGCGCCCATTGTACCCTTTTCTAACACAACAAGGGGGGCAAAAGTCAAAAGTGGCCTTCCAATATATAAAATTAAAATTTGCCGTAACAATGTAGCAACACAAAATATGATACAAAAAAATGGTATGTTTAATCCGCGAATACGCTGGTCAATTTGTTAGCGAATTCTCTCGAGAAAATACCAGAAATGCGAAAATCGAACTTCAACACATCGGCATTTTGGGGGGAGGAGCTTCCCCAGACCCCACCTATTTTCTTTACGAATTTAAAGATGTTATATTAGGCTATAATTTCAATGATTCATTCTCATTCAATAATTCATTCTTAGGATTCAATAATTCATTCTTAGAATTCAAAGATTCATTCTTAGAATTCAATAATTCATTTTTAGGATTCAATAATTCATTCTTAGAATTCAATAATCCATTTTTTAAGATTCAAAGATATTCATTCTTAGGATTCAGTAATTCGTTCTTACGGTTCAATGGTTAATTATTTGGATTCAATAATTCATTCTTAGGATTCAATAATCCATTCATAGGATTCAATGATTCATTTGTAGGAATCAATAATTCATTCTTAGAATTCAAAGAGTCATTCTCAGGATTCAACAATTTATTCGTAGGATTCAATAGCGAATTGAAAAAAAAACACATCTTAATGTTTATCAGTCATGAACGTTTTTTCACCTACTTTGTTCAACTCATTGAGGTCAAATGGTTCTGTCATATCGCTGCTATTGAACCAGAATAAATTCCATTTGAACTCCAGCTGTCCATAACATCTTGCTACACAAGTCGCTTCTATGATAAACTTTTCATCTGGATTCACTTTCTCCTGGCAGTTCTTAATACAACTAAATGAAACAATCAATAATTAATCACTACGTGCCTCTCTCCTCCGCAGTTGGCTATGATTACGATTAGTATTGAGATACATTTCACCACACTTTACACGGCTGATCTTGGAACACGATACACAGGCTCCACTCGTGTTCCAAGATCCACCATGTAAAAGTGTAGTGAAATGTATCTCAATACTAATCGTAATCATAGCCAACAGAAGCCTCTGCGGAGGAGAGGGACTACGTGCAGCATGTCGTTTATTACATTATTAACACGCTTTAAATCACTTCAAAGCGTGTTAAGGTGGCTCGATACAGTTTTCAAAACTTCAGGTGTACAATAGTTTGACAGAGCTATCATTATAACTTTATAAACGTCGCATTTTTAGGGTTTTTGCAGCAGATATCAAGATCTGCATCTGTTTTGATGTTTCTTTTTCAAATTTATGTCAGTTTTGGTAACACATAGTTCGTTACTATGGCAACACACGCTTACGAAAATCACTCTAAGAAAGCCTATTGCTTGACGTAGTTCGTGTAATACAGTGCGCAAAATTTCAACATAGGTCACCGCACAAAATAATGAGATATAGCGCACTGTTTTTTAAAAAATGGAATTTCTAATGACGTCAGCAATTGACATGCAATGCGCTATAAAACACGTACAATGGCGCCAGATGGCGTAAGCAAGTTAATATTCCCGGAGACACGAATGGTCACGCGGGTTTGTTCATAGAGCATAACGTTTTGTTTTCGCGATTCTTGTCTAAGGGATTCTGCGTGGATTAGTATGCCGAGCCACCTTAAGAGCCTTGCTCCTTGACAGATGTTTATGAAATGATACAAAAGTAGTTACTGTTACATAGTTTGAAATATGAAACTTGGCTTACCTCGTTTCCAGGGCGGGTGGAAGACCCAGTATTACTTGGAAATAAATCTCGGTCGCCGATCTTCTCAGACCGAATACTGGATCGACTTTTGAGGCGACAAGAGTGATCATATAGCTTAAATAAATACATTCATTTAATGAGTATAAGTAAGGGGTGCAAGTGCTAATAAGAGGGTCCTGAAGGCGTAAAATGGGAACTGCATGGATTTGCCCATTTTTGGACTGGGAAAATGGGACTTGGGTTACTGGGACTGGGAATGACCATAGTTAATAGAGGAGATGGTTTGGAAACTCATTAGCATTACAATAAACCTCACTATCTATGTTTTTGTTCAGGTTTATGCAAAAATGTGGACTTTCATCGTCACGTGCGTATTGTATTTTTGCTCAACCAGCCAATAGCAACGGTTTTGTCCAATTGCCCATCCATGTCTTTATCAATAGGACATTTTGAACATTCCTATTGGTTGACTTGAGAAAAATACAATACGCACGTGACGATGAAAGACTACATTTTTGCATAAACCTGAACAACATAGACAATGAGGTTTATTGTGATTTTATTGTAATGCTAACGAGTTTCCAAACCATCTCCTCTATTAACTATGGAATGACAGACACAGTTTGTTAAACTTTATTGAGTACAAATTAATTCAACAAATATTCATCTAAACATATACAATTAAAAGAGCTGTACTCAAACGGACAAGGCAGAAACTGGACGTGAAGTCCATTGCATGGTGCCCCTCCTCTTCCCAACATAGACCTTTTCATTCACAGTATAAGTAGTACAGGATGTCCCAAAAAAACCAAAACCACTGAAACAACGCACTGCCAGAATCCGAACGCCTCAGCGCCAAACTGAACGCAAAGATGCGTAAAATATGAAAAAATGGGAATGGGAGAACCAATATACCATTATAAAGACAGTTGTAGTTAGACATTTTAGAGTTTAAAGGAGCAGTGTCATCGTTTGCGCATCTTTTCTGCGCATAACAAAAAGAGTCAAAGAGATTTACAAATTTTCACCATTGACCATTGTTTTACAGTTAAAACCAAAGAATGATCATTAAAGATGATAAAAAGTTTGAGTTCACTGTCTTGGATCAACAAACTTGAAAACGTCAGCTGACGTTTTCAAGTTTCACATGCGCAGATGACAATACGGCTGCTCTAACATCTCTC